AATTATAAAAATTACATAAATTTAATAATATAATTGATACAAAGTACTAAGTAGACATTGTGTTACATATCGTAATATGTTATTAATACTTTTCTTATAAATTATAATGATATTATGAAAATATTAATAACATATTACCATCTGCAACATAATACAAATAAACTGGAAATTCAAAGGATATAATATACAATTAATAGTAATTTTCGCGATCATGTAAATTGAAAATATCAAAATTTGAGACGTTCTATATTAATACGTGTAAGAAATTTATTCTAAAGGTATTCATAAAAATAATTTATAATAAAATAACGTTTAATAATTCATTGTAATTAAGATATATTTATTAATTAGTTTGCGCTACAAACGAATAATAATGTTATATGATATGCTAAATAATACAGGTAGTACGATAGTATTATAATGGCAAAAAATAATCAATAATGTTCATATGAAGCAAGACTAAATATACAGAAAATAGAGACGTAAGTAAAAATTTAATGAAAACAATATTATAACGTTTGATAAAAACTAAAAATAAGCAAAATTGATACAAATAAATTATCCAAAATTATACACTATAATATAACACTATAAATATAACACTATATTCAGTAACAATAGCATCTGCTTATTAAGTTATTTTCCATTAATTAGAGCTCTAATATAAAAGAAAACTTATATATATATATTACATAATTATTTTAATTAGATTAATGGATGTTTATAAATCGAAAATGTTTTACATGCGCGGAAATTTCTGACAATCGTCTTACTATCTTAATTTCAATTTTCTGAAATTGTGATTTATTTATATATCTAATTTCTTTTATATAATCTTGAACCTAAAACAAAAAATGTAAAATTTAGTTACATTTGTTGAATAATTTATTATCTTTCTGTCTACAGACAGAAATGCAAGCAATAAATTATCGTTTTCCATAAATTGAAAGAAAAAAGCGCAAACCGTCAGAGACATATATGCCATTGCATACATCATGCAGTTATTAATATACGTTTTCAAAACGCTTACACTAATAAAAAATTAACTTTATTTTCAGTTCAGTTCGCTCTTTTTGTAATTCTAAGAACTAGAAAAAGATTAATTGTAAAAACTGAAATTAAAATTAATCATACATTGGTGAAGTCTGACTAAAAAAAAAACTGATAAATGTAGAGAATTTGAATTAAATTTATTTACCTTCCTCAGATTGTTGTAAGTGTATACATGATTAATGATATCAACTAGTACTGTTAATATGTTGATTTGTCTACATAAAATCAATTTGTACAAATTTATATTTTATTATATAATATATTATTATTAAAAACAATGTCCATTTATAAAAAAATGTACTTACTTAGGTTTTGTTATCTCCAAACGTGTAAATATTCCGTCGAGTATTTCGTATGTATAAGAGTTAGAATGTTTCATAATAATTGAATGCAAAATGTCTATATATAATCGCATATTTTGTTCTCCATCTTGTTTGAATAGCTCCGATAATAATAAAGTACCATAATTAAAACAAGTTAAGAATGGTATAAGATTACGTTCTTTGAACCATACATCTGCTAGATGTTGCCACGTAAAAAAATCAGTTGTTGCTAAACCGTTGCAATATGTCCAGTGCTTCCACCATGGCAAAAGGCTACAATTTCAACAAAAAAAATCACACATTTGAAAACATTGTATTTTACATATATTTGAATTGAAATTTTGTCAAAATTCGAAATGCAAAAACAAAATAATGAAAATATTGCACTTATAGAATAATATTACGGGTTTTTTTCTGGTTTTTCTAGATGTTGTTCTAATTTACGAAGAGCTGATTGTTGACACTCATCGTATTGGAGAATACATGCCCATTTCGCAATTTCTTGTCTTAAACATTTAATAAAGTCATTTTCCATCAGATGTTCTTCATATCCTAATTTCTTTAGTGGCTCTTCCAACAATTTTCTAAATTTGTTCTAAATAACGCAAATTTTATATATTCATTAGAATGAAGCACATTATCTTAGATAGCACAGATAATTGTTCTGAATTTATAGAGGGATTCATTTTTCTACATTTTTTCTGTAATAATCTGTTCGAAATAAATTTGAAAATTGGAAGATAAATGAATCAGAACATTCTAGTCAAATTTTATATTAATTATCTAGTTGAGATAACTCATTGGTATAAATATTATGATTCATATAATATTATTCTTGTAAAAATAAAAATTCTAATACATTTTGCCAGACATATTGTATCAACTAAAATTTCAGTTATATCAACTAGAATTCTAATAAATTTAACCAATACTTCTGAAGTTTTCAACCAGAAATTTTTTCGATGAATAGTCTTTGTTCAATTGTTATATAACATCCATTGATCATTACCATAATATCGATGAACTTAATTTCTTCTTTGGAAAGTGGAATTGTAATCGACATATATTCAAGCACTTTAATCATTGGATACCATACAAAAAAATTTGTCTCTTGCGATAAGAATTGCGTGAGATTCCAAAATACAGATACGTTGAGCTGACGATTCATCATCAAATAAAACGCATCATCAATGATTTTAGCACGATTGATGACACTTATACTCCCATAATGTCCAGCTGTATCATTCAAATATTTTGTAATATTGCCCCAGATTAATAAATCATATTTGACGCGGTAGTACCCTATTCAGTTAAAAAAAAAGTATATTATAGAACTGTGTTATAAATTATATGAGATTGACACTGAAAGAAATACATTTCTTTATTTTATCTTTTTTCTTATATTAAAGAATTCATATACGAACAGGATGCATTCCTACGTTTCGTATGTTTAAAATACTCATCATGCATTCTTTCATTAATATAGTGGAACATCGAATATCTGACTTAATGTGCAAATATTTGCAGACATATCTTTTACTATTTTTATAATTACATAAATCGTGTAGAATTATTTACATATATTTACCAGCTTGCTCAATGTTCACTATCCAACAATCACTTTGAGGAAAAGTAACTCCGATAGAATAAAAATGTGGTGCTAAACATATTTTTAAATCTTTATCTAAAGATATTTCCTTTAAATTTATGGGTATCAGCCACTTAATATCATTTGTTGTATTGTAACTCCGCGACAGAAAAAATTCTGAATTGTTGGAATAAGTGTATCGTTTCCAGCTTACAACAGGATAATGTTTGTTTTGAATCCAATTTAAGATCTCATTCGATGATATATTACAGTTAAATGCTGCATTCTTCAATTCTTCGTCCAAGAAATTATAGGACATTATTGAACTAAACATCCTAAAAAAATTACTGTTTGTAGTGATCACCTTAATAGACTGAATATAAAAATGTAAATTATAACTTAACTTGAATATATACATAAAACTCTACAATACAGTTTCATATTAAACACATAATACAGACAAAAGTCTTCTAAACTGACTTAAGGATTTAAAGGGATAGCCGCTTATTTTTCGAAAACGAAATTAAATTAATATATGAACGGATTAAAAAATGAAAAGGCATGAACAAATGAGATTGAAAAAAAAATGTATTAAGGTGAAACGTCGGAATTTTAAAATATTGCATATATTATGAAAATTTCTAAAAATTTCTGAAGTCTATAACAGTTATTTTATGTACTTACCAGTTACACTCAATACACACACCCGCGCAAACACACACACACACACACACACACACACACATGCGCGCGAACGCATATACATATACTATGTACATAATGTAATTAATTTGTTATATATTACTCACTGTCTGCTAACGTAGTTATGGATATTATTTCGAAAAACTTTATCGGTAATAGCACTTTGGAACATCCGTAAAACATTCATCGCTACAATAAGAAATGTATTATTACATCGTACTTGAATTTTTCTCTACTAAACTTTTCCTCCCTTTTCTTTTATAATATTCATATATATAAATTTGTACTGAAAGATTATATAATTGTTATTACCTTTCATGTAGCGAGGAAAACTGAAGAGTGAATTAATGTCCGAGTTTGTAATTTCCACAGGATTTTCATTAAAAGAATCCATATGAAGAGATTCGTATTGATTCTGAATTATAAAGAGATCCAAAATTTCAGAATTATTGAAGTTCTAAAAATAAAGTTTCATAATTATGGATATACGTTATGGCAAAAGACATATCCGCATTGTAAGTTAACGTATGCTACTGCACGTTATATACATCTTTGTTATGTGCATCTTTGTCCATTATTATTAAAATCACTTTGCAATTTTCATAATTTAGTTTAGAAATAACGCGTGAATCCGATTATTAAAATAAGTTTGTACACAATTTTGAGATTATATGTTTTAAATTGTGAAATTATATTAAGATTTAATTGAAAAGATTTTTAGGTTTTTTTTATGAAAATCTTTACAATATTATTATTTCTACTTAAATGTATATTGTAGTAAATTGTAAGTAATATATAGATTCTGAAAAAAAATTAGATTTTATAATCGAATTAAATATAGAAATAATGTACATAACATTAATATATCTTTTATGTTGCGATATTAATAAATGTAAAAACCTTAGCAACAGCTTCTTCTCCGAATATATTAGCAAAAGCGACGTGTAAAAAATGAGACCACCAAGCTGAACTGAGTGCGTTACTGAACCATTGATATGCTATTTTAGATGCTATTAAACGTGCGACTTCCATTTTGCGCATAACTGGATCTAATTTCTCATCATAAATGAGATCAGCTTCCCTAGAAATTTTTATAATTGTTTTAACATGAAATATTTTTGTTATGTTTTTTTAAATAAAACTTATTAATTGCAGTATATTTTCCTTAATTTGTTTTCAATGATTCGTATAAAACATTTAAATTATATATAATCTTAAATATTGTAAATTTCAATAACCAAATCATATTTTATTTACAATTAGATTCAGTTTGATCTTAAATGTGTAATATCTACTTTTCTTATTATTTTTGATAGAAAAGGAAATTCTGCCTCTTGTGTCTTTCGATAAAGCGCAATATACATATCTAACATTTGATACACAATATGATCGTATAATCTGACAAATATGCTGTTATAGAATAAAATCTATAAAGATATATGAAATAATATTTTATATGTACATATTCAGTACAAAAGAAGGTATACAGAGAAAACGATTACATTATTGATGGAGGCGTTAAAAATATTTTTTAAATACGTCTATTTTTTAAATAGAACTAGTACACAAATTTTTTAATTGTATAATTTTTTAGTTTTTCTATGTATAATATGAAAATATTAAAGAAAAATTATCAAAATATCAATATTATATAAAGTATTATAAATGTTATTATGTTAACATGGAATAATATAAAAAATTTCGTATACTGTTAATTGAGTTAATTTCCTAATAATCATATTTTGATATTTGTATGTACGATTAATAAAAAAAAGTATAATTGTTTTTAAAAAAGAAATGGAATTACAAATTTTGTATTTATTTTGAAATACAAATTGTATTCGGATAGCACAGTTTGATAATTATAATATTAATAACTATTCAATTTTATGTTAATTTTTATAATAAATTTTTCATAATTAATTGAATATTAGTTATGAAAGTACATATATGCATAAATTTGAAATTTATTACGTGTGAAAGATGAGCCCCCATTTCGATGTGCCATCTTGTGCAAAATTTGGAATTGCAACATGATCCATTTTTGGAATATTTATCCCACTGAATTCAGATTCCAAATGCAGTGTAATATTGTTTATGATTTTTCGTGCAAATTCAAATTTTGAAGACTTCTGTTCATCGAAACATTCACACCACAAAGCAATGTTTTTTGTTTTGTTAATTTCTCTTTTTAAATGCTCAGTTATAACTATCGCAACTTGAAAAGTAGATATTGGAGGAGTAATATAGAAGAATGTATGTAATCGATCCCAATATTTGTCATAGACGTGACGCGGTTTAATGGGCATGTTTGATAAAACTGTAAAATAGCGATTATGTTTTATTGAAATATTAAATGTAGCCTTTAAGTGCGGTTCATCCCAACAAGGAAATAATTGTCTCATTCCATTCTGCGCTTGCATGTGTGGAGCGATCAACAATCTACAACAATTTAATAATAGTTAAATTTGTTTAAATAAAATTAAACAATATACTTTTTATCATTTGATTTAATTTATATAACAATATCAAAAATTGATATAAGTGAATACATTTTAAGAAAAAATAAGAAATAATTATATTATAGAGCATCTAATGGCATACATGTATATTTTCAATTATTCAATTATTAACTTAATTTAACTATATTAAGTTACTTTTACTATATTTATTTAATTTAATCTGTAATTCTTATTTAATATTTACTCACGTTACGCGATTTTCTTTGGCAAAGTTTTTGTATAAACTTTTTTCATGGTTATCTATAAGATGTCCTTCGAATTCTAGTTTGAGTGTGTAAAGGCCGGGAAATAATATAAAAGATAAAGGAAATTCTAAAATATTTTCTTCATAGTTATATTTCAATTTTTTTAATACATAAGTTACGCCGTTATCAGAAATCAAAATTATTTTCCAATCATTCAATGTCAGATCTAATTTATGCAATCTTATATATTGGGTGGATTGAAGGATATGGATAATGGTTCTGGTTTCTCCAGAAAAGCTAAATAAGCTATAATCACGTTTTGAATCAATTGTATCCGCATTGCAATCGACATCACCTTTATAGTTACATTGATAAAGAATATGTTCGAGCATTATGGTGTAATGCACTGGCATCACGTAATAAGAAAGTATGTCTTTTGGAATTTCAGAATTGTTTACTTGTGCACCGTTAAGAGCAGTTATTGCTATGATAAATATTACACTACTCTTTATGTGTGCCAGGTCCATGTTGCAATTGTCGTTCTAACCAATATCTACCACAAAGTTTAAGAAAAGAATAGCATACTAATGATAATAATGCACATAATTGGTTGTGGTTGCTAAAAGAGAAAGAGAGAGAGAAATAGATTATTAAAATCGGTACATAAATGTAAATGTACTATTACATTTACCAATAAAAATAACTAAACATATTATAATTCAATAATATTTCTAGCACCGTTGCGATTGCATTAAAGATATCGTTAGAGCAACGTAAAATTCTACAAAAGTTTTAAATTATTATTTATTTTAATAAACATTTGACATTAAATACGTTTTTTTTTCCATTAATTAGTACCTTAAACAGAAGTCTTATGAGTATCATGTAAACGTTTACAAAAAATTACATTTTATAGTGCATTGTTATGGTACGTACATATGCTTACATAAGTAACGTTTAGTCAAAAGTCAGATAATATTCTTACAAAGATAACATTTATACAATAATTGTGCGTGCACACTGCAAATAAATCATGAATGTATTTGTAGAAACTTACCCTTGTGTGAAATTGTGCTATTAGAGTATAATTCAAACTTCTAATTGATATTCAAACTAAATGTAACGAATCTGTAAATTATAATAGAATGTTTCAGATTACTGCGATCTTATTCTCTCGACAAGTTCTAACAGACTAATGTCATCGATAAATACAAAACCGTTTCTTTTAATGTAAACATGCTATATTAGGTGACAAAATGTTAATTGATTTTCTTTTCGAAAGAATACATGTTTAATGTCTGTAGATACGTTTGATCAATTTATGGGAATGTTTGATTTATTTTGCAGTCGAATTGTTGATGTATTTCTAATACATACAGTGATATTTTAGAAAAGTTTTTAACTATTTGAGTCATTTAAGAAGTACTGTAAGTTTAAATTATTTTAGTACATACATGTTTATAATACGTATGTTTTCTTTGTATGTAAATAAATTTATATCTTATGTTATAAGTATCGGTGAGATGTCCACAAGGATTTTCAATAATCTCTTCTATTTTTCTCATGAATATTTATGATCTGCATTAGGATTATTAAGAGATGGTTGCAGAAAGAGAGAGAGAGAGAGAGAGAGAGAGAGAGAGAGAGAGAGAGAGAGAGAATGAGATGTAGCCACATAAGTAGTACGTTCGTATATTAGTAGTTTTTTTTTTACTTAAGAGATTTGAATTATAAAAGTTATATAAATTTAATAATATAATTGATACAAAGTACTAAGTAGACATTGTGTTACATATCGTCATATGTTATTAATATTTTTATTATAAATTATAATAAAAATATTAATAATATATGACGATATGTAACATAATGCAAATAAACTGGATATACAAAAGATATAATATGTAATTAATAGTAATTTCCGTGATCATGTAACTTGAAAATATCAAACTGTTTATGTTCCATATTAACACGTGTAAGAAATTTATTCTAAGAATATTTATAAAAATAATTTATAATAAAATAATAATTCATTATAATTAAGATATATTTATTAATTAGGTTGCGCTACAAACGAATAACAATATTATATGATATGCTAAATAATACAGGTAGTACAATAGTATTATAGTAGCAAAAAATAATCAATAATGTACAAATGAAGCAAGACTAAATATACAGAAAATAGAGACGTAAGTAAAAATTTAATGAAAATAATATTATAACATTTGAGTCAAAGTAAACAAATTGACATAATAAAATATTCAAAATTAACACTATATATTCAGTAATAGTAGCATCTGCTGATTATTTTTCACTGAGCTAATATAAAAGAAAACTTATATATATTACGTAGTTATTGAAATTAGATCAATGAATGTTTATAAATCGAAAACGTCCTATATGAGTGACAATTTCTGACAATCGTCTTGCTAGCTTACTTTGAATTTTCCAAAATTGTGATATATTTATGTAGTTATTTTCATAAATATCATTTACATATTCTTGAACCTAGAACAAAAAATATTTTATAATTTAATTACATTTGTTAAATAATTTATTATTGTTCCATATAGACAGAATTGCATGCATAATAAATTATTGTTTTTGATACATTAAAAGAACAAAGCGCAAGCAGTCAGAGACGTATATGCCATTGCATACACCACGCAGTTATTAATATATATAAGTTTTTAAAGCGGTTACACTAATAAAAATTTAACTTTATTTTCAATTCAGTTTGCTCTTTTTGTAATTCTAAGAATTAAAAAAAGATAAATAATAAAAAACCGAAATTAATCATACATTAATAAAGCCTGGCTAAAAGAAAACTGATGTAGAAAACTGAAATGTAGAGAATTTGAATTAAATTTATTTACCTTCATAAGATTGTTGTGAGTGTACACATGGTTAATGATATCAACTAGTACTGTTAATATGTTGATTTGTCTACATAAAATCAATTCGTACAAATTTATATTTTATTATGTAATATAGTATTATTAAATACAGTATCCATTTATAAAAAATACTTACTTAGGTTTTATTATCTTCAAAAATGTAAGTATCTTCTCGAGTATGTAATATGTGTTAGAATGTTTCATAATAATTAAATGAAAATTGTTTATACGTGACCGCATATTCGTAATATCTTGTCGTTCATTGTCTTTAAATAGTTCCAAAAATAATGAAGAAGTGGCATCTGAACCGTATTTAAAACAACTTAAGAATGGTAGCAATGTACTATTACGTTCTTTTAACCATATATCTTTTATGTGTGACCACGTAAACGAATAAGCTATTGATAAACCGTTACAATATGTCCAATGCTTCCACCATGGCAAAAGGCTATAGTTTCCAAAAAAAGAATAAAATTACACATGTGAAAACATCGTTTACTATGTTTGAACCGAAATTTTATCATAATTCGAAATGCAATAATAAATTTATGAAGCTATTGCACTTATAGAAAAACATTACGGGTTTATTTCAGGATTTCCGAAATGTTGCTGTAATTTACGAAGAGCTGATTGTTCGCACTCATCGTATTGGAGGATACATGCCCATTTCACAATTTCTTGTCTTAAACATTTAGTAAAGTCATTTTCCGTCGGATGTTCTTCATATCCTAGTATCTTCAATGGTTTTTTCAACAATTTTCTAAATTTATCCTAAATGGCGCAAATTTTATATTTTTATTGATCGTAATGAAGCACCTTATTATAGATAGCATTAATAATTAATCGCAATGAATTCAAAAAATGATTCATTTTCTACATTCATTCTATAATAATCTGTTTGAAATGAATTTGAGAATTGGAAGATGGATGAATCAGAATCTTCTGGTAATTTTTATATTAGAAATCTAGTCGAGCTAACTTATTGATATAATTCTTACGATTAATATAATATTATTTTGGTAAAAATAAGAACTTTAATAGATTTTACCAGAAATGTTGTATCAACCAGAATTTTGTTCATCTTAACTAGAATTCTAATAAAGTTAACAAAAACTTCTGATGGGTGATTTCAACTTGAAATTTTTTATGATATAACTATGGATATTCTTTGTTAAATATAACATCTATTGAACATTACCATAATATCGGTGAATTTAATTTCTTCTTTGGAAAATGGAATTGTAATCGACATATATTCAAACACTTTAATCATTGGATACCACACAACAAAATTTGTTTCTTGCGATAAGAATTGCGTGAGATTCCAAAATACAGATACATCGAGTTGACGATTCATCATCAAATGAAACGCATCATCAATGATTTTAGCACGATTGATGACACTTATACTGTTATAATCTCCAGCCGTGTCATTTAAATATTTTGCAATGTTGCTCCAGGTTATTGAATCATATTTGACTCGATAGTATCCTATTCATTTAAAAAAATGTATTTTATTGAATTGTATTATAAATTTTGCGACATTGACTTTGAGAGAAATACTTTTCTTCATTTTATCTTCTTTTTTATATCAAAGGGACTTTATACATATACATGTGTGATGAAATATATGAAAATTACTGCATCTATAATACACACAATTGCGTTTTTCGGTAGATGCATTCCTACGTTTCATATATATTGAGAATACTCATCATGCATATTTTTATTATTATAGTGGAAAGTCAACTATCCGAAATGTGGCAATATTTGCAGACATATCTTTTACTATTTTTATAATTACATAAATCGTGTAGAATTATTTACATATATTTACCAGCTTGCTCAATGTTCACTATCCAACAATCACTTTGAGGAAAAGTTATGGGGTACTGAACAGAATTAATATGTGGTGTTAAACATGTCTTTAAATTTATATTTGAAGATGATATTTCCCTTAAAATTATGGGTATCAGCCACTTCCTGTAACTCGTTGTATTACTTTGCGATAATATTTTTGTAACTTCGGAATGTTTGTATTGTTCCCAGATTACAACAGGATAATGTTTGTACTGTATCCATGTTAAGAACTCATTCGATGATAAATTACAGTAATATGTTTCATCTAATTCTTCTTTCATGGACCAAAAATTATAAGATATTATTGAACTAAACGTCCTAAATTTAAAAAATTATTCTTAGTGATTAGTATAATGGATTGAAAATAAAAATGTGAGTTATTACTTAACTTATACATATACATAAAACTCTACAACACAATTTTATGACACACACATATTAAAGATAAACGTCTAGACTGACTTAAGGTCGTAAAAAGATAGCCGCTTATTTTTCGAAAGTAAAATTAAATTAATATATGAACGGATAAAAAAGACATGAACAAATGAAATAAAAAAATATATGTATGAAGTCGAAACAAAGGTATTATAAAATATTGCAAATATTTAAAAACTTTAAGTCTATAACAGTTATTTTATATACTTAAAATACACACACACGCGCGCGCGCGCGCGCGCGCACATAATACAGATATGTAATTAATTGTTATATTATCTTTACTCACTGTCTGCTTACATATATATGGATATTATTTCGAAACACTTCATCAGTAATAGCACTTTGGAACATCCGTAAAATTATTATTGCTACAATAAGAGATATATTAATAAATCGTAATTGAATTTTTCCAACTAAACTTTTCCTTCCTTTTCTTTTATAATATACGTATGTATAAATTTCTACTAAAAGATTATTTAGTTATTTTCACCTTTCATGTAACGAGGAAAACTGAAAATTAAATTGGTATCCATTTGGCTAGTGATTTCCACAGGATTCATATTAAAATGAGAATCTAGATGAAGAGATTCATATTGATTCTGAATTATGAAGAGATCCAAAATTTCTGAATTATTGAAGCTCTAAAAATAAAGTTCCATAATTATGCATAAACATTAAAATAAAAGACATCCGCATTGAGCTAATAACGTGTGCTACTGCACATTATATACATGTGCATGTTTGTGCATTATTATTAAAATTATTTTACAGTTTTCGTAGTTTAGTTTAGAAATAACGTGTGAATCTATTTATTAAAATAAGTTCTTATAATTGTGACATTATATGCCTTAAATTGTGATATTTTTTTATCATTTAATTGAAAAGATTTTTAGGACTTTTTTTTACAAAAAATTTTTACATAATATTTTTGTTAGTAGTGTTCCTACTTAAAAGTATATCGTCGCAAACTTCAGATAATATATAGATTTTGAAAAAGATATGATCTCACAGTCAGATCTAAGTTTCAAATAAAATGATATACATAACAGAGATATATCTTTCATATTGCGATATTAATAAATATAAAAACCTTTACAACAGCTTCTTCTCCGAACATAGTAGCAAAAGCGTCGTGTAACCACCAATAATGATACCAAGCCGAATTGAGTAAGTTACTAAACCATTGATATGCTATTTTAGGTGCTATTAAATGTGCGATTTCTATTTTGCGCATAACTGTATCCAATGTTTCATTATAAATAAGATTGGTTTTCCTAAAAATTATTATAATTAATCTAATATGCAATATATTTTTTATGTTTTTCTTAAATAAAACGTATTACTTGCTTTACACTTTTCTAGTTAATTTATTTTTAATAATGTGTATAAGATATTTGACATTTTTAATCATTTATAATTCTGTATATGATAAATTACAATGGAACCAAATTATTTGTATTTTATTATATTCAGATTGACATTAAATGTATAATGTAATATCTCGTTAAATATTCACTTTTCTTATTAATTTTGCTAGAAAAGTGGATTTTGCTTTTCGTATTTCTTAATAAAGTACAACAAATGTCTAACACTTGATATACAATGTAATTTATATAACGTGACAGATGCAATTGTGAATAAAATTTATAAAAATATATGAAAAAGTGTTTTATAAGTAGATGTTTAATACAGAAGAAGATATCACACAATAAAAAAAGTTACGGTAAATATACTGAATAAGTGAGCCTCCCCATAACTTTGACATATATTGTCATCAAGGTTATAGGGAAGAGCTCCCCAATTCGGTATAATTATCAAGATTACTTGTGGAGACGTAAAAGACGTTTCCTAATTACTTATATTTTTTAAATAGTCTGTATATATTTTTAATCGTACAGATTCTGTCTAATCTTTTAGTAATTTATACATGAATTTTTTTTATATTTTAAGATATTTAAGAGGAATTATTAAAATGTCAATGTAGCATACAAAATATTTAATACTTTATTCTAGCATATTTTGGTATAAAATAATGTAAATATCTCGCAACTATAAATTTCCTTATAATCATATTCTGATATTTTTATGCAGCTAATGAAAAAAAAACACAATTGAAGAAAAAAAATGCAATTAGAATTATTCCATTTTTATTTTGAAATATAAATTATATACGAATCACCATGTATGATAATGATAATTATTAAATTTATAAATTAATAAATTTTAAACTTTTAAACAATTCAATTGATGCATATTATTTTTTCGTTTAACGTATTTTATGCATTACGTATGAAATATGAGCCCCCATTTCGATGTGCCGTCTTGTGGAAAATATGGAATTGCAATGTGATCCATTTTTGGAATATTTATCCCATCGAATTCAGATGTTAAATGTAATGTAATATTGTTTATGATTCTCTGTGCAAACTCAAATTTAGACTGCTCGTCTGAACAATATTCGCACCATAAAGTAATGTTTTCATTAATTCTAATGGATTGATATTCAGTCATGACTATCGCAATTTGAAAAGTGGACATTGGAGGCGTAATATGGAAGTATGTGCGTAATGAATCGCTATAAATGTCATAATTTTTGTGTAACCGTGTCGGCATGTTTGATAAAACTGAAATATAGCGAGGATGTCTTATTGAAATATTAAACGTGGCCTTTAATTGCGGTTTGTCCCAACAAGGAAATAACTGTCTCATTCCATTTCGCTCCTGAATGTGTGGAGCTATCAACAATCTATTACAATTTAATAATATTATATTTGTCTTAAATAATAATCATACAATAATGAATCTTTACAATTTGATTGAATTCAAACAATATCATTAAAATTTAGTATAAGAAATACATTTTGAAGAAAAACAAGAAATAATTATATTATAAATCACAATCATATATACCTATATTTTAACTATTTATCATTTACTCACGTTATGGTATTTTCTGTGGAAACATTTTTAAAGAAACTGTCTTCATAATTTTCTATTAGATGACCAAAAAATTGTATTTTGAATGTGTAGAGTCCGGGAAACAATGTATAGAGTAAAGGAAATCCTAAAATGTTCGTTTTATAGGTATATTTATATTTATTTAATGCGTAAATTATGCCATTCTTTGTAATCAAAGTTGTATTCACACGACTTATTGTTAGTTGTAGTTGATGCAAACTTATATAGTGAGTCGATTGTAAGATATTAATAGTTATACTAGTTTCACCACCAAAGAAAAATGAGTCATGATTTTTTGAATCATGTATCTCTTTCCAAATGTTATCAAGTTTATCAATGTGCTGATGGATTAGATTTGTGTAATCGAGCTGTGTGCAGTAGTGCACTGGTATCACGTAATAAGGAAAATGTATGTAGTTTGAAATGGTAAAATTGTTTAGTTCTTCACTATTAAGAACAGCTATTGTTACAATAATTATTATGCTGCTACTTATCTGTGCTAGATTCATGTTGCCTCAATATTTGTTCTAAATATATATATCTGTCAGAAAGTTTAAAGAAATAATATACTAATGATAATAATGCACATAATACATGTACGTAGTTATTGTACATGTTAAATAGAAAGAGAGAGGGGGGGAAGGGAGAGGGAGAGAGAGTTATTAAAATCGTTATTGTAATTGTAAACATACGATACGATTACATCTATGTTTACTAATAAGTAACACTAAACATTTTTTAATTTAATAATATTTCTAGTACTGTTGTGACTACGTTAAAGATTTCGTTACAGCAACGTTAGATTCTAAAAAATTTTAAATTATTATTTATATTATTAAATATTTTTTCACATTAAATATGTGTTTGTTTTTCTGTTAATTTATATCTTAAACAGAAGTCTTAATATGAGTATTATATGAATGTCTATTAAAAACATCACATTTTGTAGTACATTATTAAGGTACAAAAATTACATTTTATAATACATTATTAAGGTACGTAAGTTCTTAAACAAGTAACGTTTAGTTAAAAGTCAAATAGCATTGTTACAACGCCAACACCTAAAAAATAATTGAACGTACACATTACAAATAAATTGTCATATTTTTAGAAACTTACCCTTTGTAATAAAGTTGTGCTATTAGAGTATAATTCAGACTCCTAATTGATATTCATAATAAACAATGCTTTATTAGATACATTTGGTCTGTGTGGAAATATTCCCATCAGCATATTATATATTTGAAATTTTTACATTAAGTAAATTTTTAAAAACAGTATCTGATGATTGAATATCTTAAAGTGACAGTATCTTACAAGCGACTATCAACTATTATTCAAAAATTAGTTTATTACACACAGTTTTCATAAACCTTATAAAGGAGTAAAGTACATATGTTACTCTTTAAAGAAATAAAACTAATGTTTAAAATGTTTGAAAAAAATAATTTGAAATTATCATTTAATTGAATCATTATATACATATTCTCAGACATTTAACTTTTAATCGAAAGCCAAAGAACGTTTTTATAACTCCATTTAAAAAATTATGTAGTGTATACATACATTTTAATAAGGTATTATAAGAACTTACCCTTAAAATAAAATTGTACTAATAAGACATAATTCTGACTGTGAATTTATACATTTATAATAACAAAACGAAATATAAATGTGATAATAAGTTTTCGATTGCTGCGATCTTATTTCTTCGAAAAGTTATAATCAATAATATTTATATAGTATCAGATTTCATAATAAATACAAAATGTCACCTAAACAATTCCTTATTAGAACACATTCTATATACATATAATATAATATAACACCATTTCGAATGTCGGAAATTCCAACTGTAAACTCAGCCTTATTTTTCGCAATAAAATTATTTGTAGATTTTAAATTCTCATTAACACATCCGTATATTAATATTCTTATATAAATACTTATTATTAGCATCAAAATCTCTCTCAAATATTATGATTCCTCTACTAAAAAAAAATCATATAATTTTATTTTTTTTAATAGCCATGATCTTCATGTAATCATAAAACATTGACTTTTTGGAAAATTAATTTTACCTCTATTTGCACCCCATATATTCAAGCCATACAATTTTTATCTTTTTGATTCGATCTTGTCCTGCGACAATAAAAAGGGTGATAAATTAAAATGGTACATCCTGTTATTATTATATAAAATATAATATAATAAATTATCATACTCAAATAAAAACTATTTATCTTTTATTGTAAAAAATACAGAATGAGTATATTTTAAAGGTATAAAAAATATTAGTTCCTGCAGTAGATATTAAGTTGAAAAAAATCAAGCTTAAATGAAAGTGATTAATCTTCTGGTCTGATTGACCTGCCACACATTTAACGCTTCATATTCTTCGATGCATCTATATACTGGATCGGGTTTAAATCCTTTGCTCGTACATCGCTCCAGAATATCAGATACTTTGACAGTTTTTTTATCGCCAGCAAGTTCTCGTATTAGTTGGAAGATCCTGTTGATCGGATCTTGTTGCACGTTTTTAGTGCGTTGTTCGGAGTAATTAATCGAATGTTTGGACATCTCTACTAATCTGTTTGCTTCTGCTATGTCATCCTTATCAACTACATTCGATAATCGTAATCGTGCTAATGCCGTCGACAACCGAAGGATAGCTAGTAGATTTCGAGCGGAAGTAAATGTTTTATCGTGGCTGTTACGCGCCTCTTTCCGCATTTCCACATAAGAGTCTGCAAAAGTATGATATTTCAGAATAAATCTGCCAAATAATTTGTTTAATACATGATGGCAATAAATAATATTTCATATTTATTTGTTACAACGATGATACAATTCTACAAGAAAACAAAGCTTTCAGTTTGTATGTTTATTAAAATTTTGAAACATTAATTTTAAAAAGTTATTTCAGTGTTATAATTCATTGTAAAGAATAAAAGTATGCTCTTTTAAAATATGTTCTTTTTTTCTCTTTATGTTTCTATTTTTTATCTACAATCAACTCAAAGTGATAATTTTTTATTTATATCGCTATAGGAAATATGACATATGTATTAAGGCATAATGATATAATAAAATTATAACATTTGGATTGTGTATATACATACCTACAATATATTCTGTTAATTCTTCCGATACAACAGGTTCTTTCGTTTTACACAAATTTATGTATTTTCTTATCAATTTCATATCTATAGCTTCTGTTTCCGTCGGAGGTTGCGAGCAATGTTGATGAACATATGTGATATGTTGCGCGAGTCTATCAAAAGAATACTTATTCATTATCAGCATATAAATATCATAAAATATGAAATTAGAATAAATTATGTTTAATTAGATACATAGACCGCGAGATGTGGCTGAAGAGTGATTTGTAATATTAAAAATAATATAAAAATATTATATTCTTTTACTCTTAATATTATAAATTACTTACTTAAGATCATTACTCCGATCTGCGCGATCTTGAATAAGCCACAATAAATCAAATCGTGACAGCAATGCGGCGGGCAATTGAATATTCTGCTCGACTGTTCTCTGTGGATTGTATCTGCCATATGCCGGATTGGCAGCAGCTAATATAGAGACTCTGGCGTTCAAACGAGCCATTATTCCAGCTTTAGCAATAGATATAGTCTGTTGCTCCATCACTTCATGAATCGCCGTTCTATCCGCATCTGCCATTTTATCAAACTCATCGATGCAACACACTCCTTGATCTGCCAATACCAAAGCTCCACCTTCCAATACCATCTGACCCGTTAAAGGATCCTTCATGATAGCAGCGGTTAAACCTACACCGGATGATCCTCGTCCTGTAGTATACTGTGATCTTGGGGCTAATCGCGTAATATAAGATAATAATTGCGACTTTGCAACGCCAGGATCTCCCATCAAGCAAATATTAATATTGCCTAGAAGCAATAAAATTATCTTAACTATATCTATTGATATTTTAGTAGTATCAAAGTAGGGATAGACATTAAGTTGTTAAATCACACAGTAATATCTTTACCTCGAATTTTAATGTCACCTTTCTTCTTGTCTGTTCCCCCAACCAGAAGCAGAAGCAACGCCTTCTTAACATCTTCAAGTCCATAAATTTCAGGCGCTAAAGAACAAGCCAACTTGTTGTAAAAATCATCTTGCATAAGCAAACCCAATTCTTCATCGGTCAATTCTGCATTGCTGTCATCTGCGATATCCGCGTTATTCAGGCATACTACTTTCTGAAATCGAACAAAAAATAAACTTTGCAAAAGACTAAGATTAATTTGATTGTAGAATTGATATATTTATTCTTACATGGGCATCCAAGTAAGTTTCGCTGGAAAGTGCAGGCCCTGCTCTAGCACTAAAACCTGTTTTTAAAAAAGGTAAAAACACACCAGTCACAATGACGTGATCCCCGGGTAGACAAGTTCTTGTTGTTTCGCCACGACAAAAGATAGTCAACGATCGTGGTATGTGGCCAACTGGAACTTGCTCGCTCTATAAAATACACATGTCAGCAATGTAAGAAAGAATGTTAGTAAACTTTTAAAAATTTTTATCAAAATAATATGTAAACTTATAAATTTTTAGTTGAATATTTATAAATTTACGTGTTCTTGTATTTTTATTTCTTGAAATTTGATGAACTTTGAGCCCTTTGTCTGCAAGTACAATCTGCCACCAGATTTATTTACACGGCATCCATCGCTTGGACATGTTCGTATAGGCATAAAGCTTAAAGAATGTACCTATAATAATCAATATTATATCTATAATAATATAAAAAAGAGAAAATATATTTAAATATTGTACAAATTGCAAAATATATTATTTGAGCATAGAATATTATTGGATGTATAAAAGAGAAACAATATCAATTTTCGTACTGGCTGGCTCACTTCCGAACCGCATTCGTCACATGTATACGTTGCCACAACTATCATTGGCTTTACTTCAGTCGCTTTAGTAACAATACCTCTGACTGTTACCAATTTCCCTATCTTATCTGCCTTGATATCTCTTACTGAATACGCCTTTGCATCAGAGAAATCTTTGAAGTACACTTCACTAAAAAGTAGATAGACATATCTGTGAATCTAGATTACGTTGTTTCTATATAAAGAATGTCGCTACGTAAATTAAGTTTTCTCACAAACGTCGCATCAATTCAGGAGCATAATTAACTTTCGCAGCATTTTGAGCACCTGGTGCTGTGTTACGTGCTTCCAATAATAATCGATGCTCTGTGTATACATCCAATGAATCTTTAGGCAGAACAACTCCTTCTTTGAAGTCAGGCAGCATCTCTTGAACCAGCTATATTTAAAAATTCATTAATTTCTACCTGCTGTAAAATACACAAACTTATACATAATTAGTTTGCAGCATTCAAATTAAAGCATTAACATGTCTACATGCCAAGTATAAATCTTCTTGTTTTAAACTATCTTGAGAGTATTCGCAATAATTTCTATACGTACATTCAGGACTAAATTAGTATATCTTCGTGTATTATTAGTGATAGACATGGCTAATTCATCATCGAACGAGTGTAAATCATCTAAATCAATTTCAAAGCTAATTTGTTCGCGGTGTGCTATCTTCGTAAGCATATCTCTATATTTGAAGATCTTTTTTCCTATATCGTCCATTGCCACAAATTCCAGGAAGAAGGTCTTTATTTGTTCTAAAATAAACATTTATACAATTTGTAGGTAGTATTGTCAAAACTTTAATGTCGGTTATATAGTCTTCAACACAAATTCTGCGAGAACATAGACAAATCTTACCTTTGTCTTTGACATAATCTCTTGATACTTTAGTCGCCATTTTTTTACGAGTTAATAAAACGCAGCCCTATTTGAAATTTACTTTATAAAATGTTCTTTTTCCCGACTATTTCAATCTCAACTAATCTCAACTAAATACGAATGTGTGGTTAAATAACGTTATACCTCGACTTCGCGCGCAAATTAAGACCATAGATTGTAAAACATGTTGAAAAGAAACTCTAAAGAAATAAACCGGTTGTTCAGTATGAATTTTTCGACGATTCGTATTGGTTCGAATTATTGGACAAATCTACGATAGTAGAGTAGTCATGAGGCCAATGGAAAACTATTATTGCACAATTTAGTTAAATTAATATCCTTATGTTTATTTGCTAGTGTAAACTTTCCTTACAAATTTTCATATCTTTTTTTTAAATTTTGGTAATTATTTAAAATACCCCCCCCCATCTCAAATCTTAATAAAAATACACTTATTCGTATTTTCACTCAAAACGAAAGAATCTGGCAAACTGCGATCGGCCTCGTAAATCGAGTTATGGTAATTCTCCAGAAAAGCTTTCTCAGCTCCGATTTCGATAAAATTAGACTTAACGTATTTTTGCGTAAAATAAAAGAATCTAGCAGAAAAAAGTCCGGGACTGCTCTGTGAAACGAGATATTAAATGTTAAAGTTTACAACTATTGAGGTTAGGTCACTCTCAATTTTAATGAAATGTTAATGCAAAGAATTTGTGTGCTTAAAGCAGTAAATTTTTGTTTGTAAAGCAATGGATTTGCGTTTGTAAAGCAGTAAATTTGTATTTTTAAAACTGTGAATTTGTGTAATTAATGCAGAACTTATACAGAGCTATATTGAATCGGGATGACAGATCTCTAAAGTCATCAACTTCACGCTTAATAATTCGATTCACGAGGCTGACAGCCACATTTTTTGCCAGATTTTTTCATTTTGAATGAAAAACACGTATAAGTGTATTTTTATTGAAATTCGAGGTGGAGGAGGGGGGGAGGTATTCTAAATAATTAAATTTTTATATAATATTTAGAATTTTATGTAATGTTTATAGATTTTTTCGGAATTTCTGAATAACTGTTTAACTTTTTAAAAAATTTTTCCAAATTTTTCAAGGTTTTACAAATTATTTCTTAAAAAATTATAATATAAATAAAATTATATGTACCTTATGATAGAAGAGATATTGGAATGAATTTTTATTTTATCTTTTTTTTCAAAGAGATTACTCTGTACGAGTCTTCAGGACTTGTTTCAGTAACTTTTTTGATTACAAATATTGCAATTAAAAAACGCTATTTATTAAATTGTATTTATGTAGTATTTTAATTATAATTACTGTAATTTCTGCATAAAGAAATTCATCTTTGACTCCTCTAGAGATTTCCATAGTCTCCTATCAAATCTTAACCAAAGAAGAAAAGTAAAAGAAAATAAA